AAATAACTACCACCGCAATCGAAAATAGTTTTAATTTAAACAACATTTACACTGAAGGTCAGTCAAAAACAAAGTTCCAGTTACACACGAGATATTTGGCACAGATACTCAGGGAATATAGTGGGATTTTTGTGCCAAGTATCAGTTCGAAGTTGTGAGATTTTTTAATAAAAAAGTTATTTTAAATAAAATTAATTTTTAAAGCAATTTTCGTAATGTCTGAGACATTTCTCCGAAAAAACAAGTTTCCAAAAAACTTTACAAACTCGAAATTTGTGAAATTTTTTCCTTCTTTCTTTCTTTCCCTTTGTCAACTTCTGTGAATATTAATTTTAGATTTTTCACTTCTCAAGTTAAACTTCAACTTTTCTTTTTAAAAATAATTATTACGCGACTTTTGCAAGCACAACTCTTGCAACGCCCATCGACGACGACATCTTTTCAAAATGGAGGCAAGCTCATGCAAGACTTCTCCGGCAAACTGGTGCATGATCTGCGGGTCGTGGATAACATCACCGAAATTGGATTCTTCTAGATATTCGTTTCGAAAAATGACACCGGCTTTTAAATCTGCATATGTGTCCTACTTTGCTCGGCCTGTTCCCCACGATGACTCTCCGTGGTGGATTCCTCGTCAACCATGCCACTCCTGCTACACGATTCTACTTGGATGGCAAAAAAATTCTTCCAAACACCTGAAATTCAAGGAACCAGCATGTTGGAAAGAGCCTAGTCACAGTGCTGGCCCGAATGGAAGGACGGATTGTTTTTTTTGCGAGTCAGTTCCACCACGAGGAAATCGCGTCAAACAAGTGCTTTATTGGGATGGTGTTGTCGCTGCTCCAGCTCTTCGACAGGAAACAGATGCTCTTCCGCAGCTTCTTGCTTTTCACCCAATTCCGATCGAAGCTGCCCGCTCTGCGCCTTCTCCATCTCCTCAGTACGCTAGCGACGTTGAAATGGAGTCTGAATCCTCCTCTGAGGAGTCAGATGACTCAGACGACCCAGGCTACCAGCCTGCTGGTCCTTCAGCTTGCCCTTCTGACGGGCTCATTAGCCAAGGAGTCTTTGACTCGCTAGTCTCTATTTGCGCTTTGACTCAGAAAAAAGGGGAAGCTTTAGGATCAGCACTTCGTAATCTGGGTTGTCTTGAACCAGGGGTAAAGACTGGGCAGCGTAAGCGCACTCACGTGTTTGACCAATTCTTCAACACTCAACGAGTGGTGGTTCAGCTCAAGGCAAAAAGGGGGACAAGCGAACCGACCACAAAGGAAGTAGACGTTGTCTATTGCTCCAACATCCCCGGACTTTTTGAGCAACTCAACCAGCAGTACAACGCCGAAAACTATCGTCTGTTCCTTGACGGGTCGCGTAAGAGCTTTAAGGCGCTGCTGCTGCAGAACGAGCCGGACGGCGACAAGCGGAAACCGGCGGTCCCCATTGCAGAGAGTGATGGCATGCCGGAAAGCTACCAGGCCATCAAAACAGTGTTGGAGTTGTTGCACTATGATGATCACCAATGGCTTGTCCAGGGTGACTTCAAAGTCATCAACATCCTCACCGGATTGAAGGGCGGCGGTAGTAAGTACCCATGTTATCGCTGCAATTTTGACAGCCGTGATTACGCCCGCCATTTCGAAACTGACCAGTGGGCGCCGTGGACCGAAGACGATCGAGAGCCAGGCCGGTTTAGTTTTGTTGAGCGAGCCCTTGTTCCTGCTGATCGGATTGTCCTGCCGGAACTACATGTGCGTATGGGAGTTTTTCAACAGTTTGTCAAAAAACTGTTTGAAAACTCGGTTCACCCAGCGTACCGGTACTATGTGACTAAGTTTAAATCCAAGTACTCGGAAGCCAAGCTGGCGGTCGGCGCTCTCATCGGACCCGATATCATTAGACTTTCTAATGATTTTGGTTTTGTTGAAGCTCTTCAGCAAGGCGGACAAAACGACTCGGAAAACAAGGAGCTCCGGGCGTGGCTATCGTTCGTCGAGGTGGTCAATTCTTTCTTTGGAAAGAACACGCGTCCTGACGATTTTCGCGAGCGGGTTGGTGATCTGGTGGGCAGTTTTAGTGACATGGGCTGCAATATGTCCTTGAAACTTCATTTTCTTGCTGATCACCTAGACGCGTTTCCAGCCAGACTTAGCGACATGAGCGAACAGCACGGTGAAAAAGGGCACCAAGAAATGCAAGAGGCGGCTCGGTTGTACCCAGCAAGTGGAATCCGACGACTTGCCGAGCGTCTTTTCCAGATCAGACCTCTACCAGCCAATCTGAAACACTCAAAAGTTGGTCCACAAAGCAGCCGCTTTAAGTAGCCTGCAGCAAAGACGACTACAAGAAGGACATCACGACGGACTGCGCCCAAGACGAAAACAAGATGAAGACGATTTTTCGACACCGTTGGTAACAAGAAACCAACGTCGTTAGGTACACAACAATAGGGACTTTCATCTATTAGCTTTTACATTACACAACACTAGGGCCGAGCTTATTACTTTTTAGGTTAGCTTTCATACTACACAACACTAGGGCCTAGCTTCTTTTTTAGGTTAGCTTATCTTCAAGCCAGACGCTTTTTGGACCTTCATCGCACATCATTTTCGGACACGCTGGTGCCACCGAGCCAGCCACACCAGGTACACAACATTAGGGACAATTTTTTTTGTATTAGCTTTCACATTACACTACACTGTTAGGGCCGAGCTTATTACTTTTAGGTTAGCTTTTAATTACACAACATTAGGGTTTAGCTTATTCTTTTTAGGTTAGCTTAGCTTGACACTAGAACAGTGTTGCTTTTTCTATCTAATAAAATTTTATAAAAAAATTTTAATGGTGTTTATTATTGCCCAACTTATTGTTTAAGTATTTTAATTTTTTTAAAAGATAAACGATTGCTCAAAAAATTAGTTTTAAAAAGCAATTTAAACATAACAAGAAATGCACAAAAGCAGAGAAGCCTACATTCAAGTAAACCAAGTCTCATGAGTTTCGGTAACATGTCCTTTTTGACAAAATGTCTTATCATAGATTATCATAGATAAAACTCACAACCTCGAACTGATACTTGGCACAAAAATTCCACTATATTCCCTGAGTATCTGTGCCAAATATCTCGTGTGTAACTGGAACTTTGGTTTTGACTGACCTTCAGTGTTATTAATTTTAACCTATTTTGAATGAAATTAATTATTATTAACTATAGATTTAATTAAAAAAGTCATAATTTGAATTTAAACAAAATAATTGTTTAAAATAAATTTGTTACTCAATGATTTCTTCAATTAGTTCTGACTTGACTAAATCTTTAAAGTGTTTTCGATCCACTTTTCCAACTGCAGTGCGTGGCATGCTGTTGATAAACCGCACGCCTCCACGGAGCCATTTGTCTGGTCCGAGGTTTTCTGTAAACACAAATAAATTAAAAAGTACATTAAAAATTAAAAATAAATGAGTCTACCTTTAACATTTTGTAAAAGTTGTTCTTCTGTCAGTAAGCAACTTTCCTTCAGTAGCACGTAGGCTCTTGGGTAATATCCTTCAGTTTTGTGAGGAACGCCCACCACACAAACAGATTCAATCTCCGACAAACGGGTAATGTACTCTTCAACAAATGCCGGAAAAACCGAATACAACTTGTACTTGATCATCTCCTTAATTCGATCAGTAATAAAGAGGCAGCCATCAGAGTTGTAGAAACCAACGTCGCCAGTTCGGTACCAGCCTTCCTTATCTTTGGCTACTTTAGTCTCTTCTTCATTCTTCAGGTACTCCACAAAACACGGCGGCCCTCGAAAGCAGATTTCGCCCGTCTCATTGGCGGGCAAATTGCAAGTAGAGTCATTCAGGTCGATGATCTTCATCTGCACATTGGGCAGCAGGTCGCCGAGATTGCCCGCCTTAAAGTCCGCCCCTGCCGCTGCTGGATTGTGAAAGTTGCTGACGTGTCCGAGGAACTCCGTACTGCCGTACATTTCGTACATGTGCGCGTCGTACCGTCGGCGAATCGTCTCCAGCTGGTGGGCGGCAATCTTGGCGCCACCGTAGCGAAACACCTTCAGGCAGCTCAGGTCGAGGCCCGGGTACTGGCCGGAGGCAAGGCCCGGGGCGGCGTTTGCCGTGAAGGTGTACTGCTGAACGCGATGGCGGTCAATGAGGCGCATTATCGCCTCAGGCGGAAGGACGCGCGTCAGAAGGACGGTCATGCGGCGGTCGAGGGCGGCCGTGAGGAAGAGCGACCCGGAGATGTGGCCCAGCGGAAAGGGCAGCACCAGGCGCTGTCCCTCGTGCTCTGTAGGCTGCCGGAAGTTGATGAGCATGGCGAGGAAGGTGCGCTGAGAGTGAACGACGCCCTTCGCCTTGCCGCTGGTGCCCGAGGTGTAGAAGATGGCGAAGGTGCTGCGCTCCAGGTCAGTCACCGGGAAGTGCGGCACAGTGATTAACGTTTTGCCTGCTCCCAACGCGGCTACTTCGGGAGTGGTTTTGGCGACAACTTTGCTATTGGTGGTGGTGGTGGTGGTGGAAGAGGCGAGCCCGCTGATAAACGGGTCCACCGCTGGCGACTCGAACTGGACGATCAACCTGATCTGGCGGACGCTGCCCTGGTACTCCTCACTGGTGAACACTCGCTGCACCACTGACAGTTTGCTAGGGCCAAAGAGGAGCACAGTGCCGGCCGTTTCCGCCGCCTGAATAGAGAACTCATAGGGCCCCAGCGCCGGCGGAACAGAGTTCATCGGCAGGCCCAGGTAGGCGGCGGCGAACCAGGCCACCGTGTACTCGTGGTTGTTATCAGAGAAGAACAATATCAGGTCAGTAGAGGAGAGGCCCAGTTCAAGCAGGCCAGCGGCGAATTGTTCCACTTCTCGGTGAAACTCTCCATAGGTAATGTACCGGTGGCTGTCTGGATCGATCTGATCCAAAAATTAAACAAAAGTGTTTTGTAATTTTTTTAAAGTTTTTATCAAAGTTTAAATACTCACAAAAGCAACTGCATCTGGGTTAGACTTAGTGAGTACGTTTTTCAAGTATTCACCAACTGAAACAGCAGGATACTCAACGGGTGGAAACTTAGAAGAAACAATGTTTTTAGTAGACATTTTTTAAAAACTATTTGTTGAAAAAAACTAAAATTAATAATGCTTTAAATGTTTATTTTAATGTTATTTTTATTGTGTTTTAATAATTGAAATCAACATTATTAGTAACAGTAGAAATTATCATAATGTGCCTAATTCGTATACATTTTGAGGTTCCTGATAACTACTATCATAATGTTTTGCTTGATCGTTTTATGTTTCATTATCGGCATATATTTTCAATAAAAATGCACCAAATATAAACTTAAGCATATATTTTTAAAACATTTTGATTGCAAACTAGCAAATATAAAGTGTACCTAATGTAAAACAAATTTTTCAGCTGAAAACAGTTATCAAAATGGAAATCATAATGTTAATAGACAATTTACCCTTCTCAAATTTTGTAAATTAAATAAAATACATGAAAGTATAGGATACACTTCCTTCATACACATTGTTATATAACCAAAATTCTTATTTTTTTGCAACAATATTTAATAAATAAAACTTCAAAGATGTAAAAAGTGTACGTTTTAAAAATTTTACAATTTATTTTATTTGTCGCGGAATTTCTTCCGTGAAGATGAGAGAGAGAAAGAGGAGAGAGATGGGC